GTTTTCTGCAGGCCGCATCATTTTCTGTGCATCCCTGCAGCGCCCCGCGAGGGCCACAAGCAGCTGTGCCATGTAGAATTCTAGACGGCAATGCTAGACCTGGCAGCGGTGGTGGGGAAGCTGGGGTGGGCAAGGAGGGAGTTGTTAGCTCTTGCACTTGTTGGAAAGGACTGTCACAGAAGACCGTGACATCCCCATTGCAGGAAGTGGGCAAGACAGGCTAGCCTGGCTCTAAGACCCTTTGCCCTTCATCTAAAACAGCTGAGGATGGACAAGTCAGAAATGAGAGGACACACCAATAGGGCTGTCAATTTCTGATGTTTTAGGCCTGTTTGGGTGGTTAATAGTTATATAAACTCCCTAGAATGTAAGCTTCATGGGCTCAGGGTTCAAGTGCTAAAAAAAACACGAAACAGTTGTGGAATGAATTAATGAATAAATGAATGAATGGTGGAATGAATGAATGAGTCTAATCAAAGGATGTGAGAGGCTGCTGTTTTTGAGCCAGGAGGGAGCCCTCTTCCCCTCCCTTCCTTTTGGGACCTGCCCTCTCCTCTTCCTTCCTCTTCCCCCAACTGGGTCAGATCTTACCATCTCTTATCTGGGCGTGGTCCCAGCCTCCTGTCCCACTCCCCAGCACCCAGGCTTCCCTCTATTCTCCAGTCAACCCTCCTCGCCAAGCAGCTAGATTCACTTCGGAAGATGTAAGCCATGTGGTCACTCCCCATTGCCTACTCTTCCCTGTTCCTAAAGGGTCTTCTCAATGTGCCCACTCCTCTAGCTCCCTCTCTGATGCCCTGCCCCCACCTCACTCACCCCATATTCCTCCAGCAGCAATAATATGATCACATTTATGGAACACTTACTATCTGTACTTTTACACGGATGATCTTACGTGTCACAATAACCTATGAGATCTTTAAGGGGGATACGATTACTATTCCCATCTTATAGAGAAGAAAACTAAGGCCCAGAGACATGTAGGGCCTTACCCAAAGTCACCCAACTAGCAGATGTCAGAGTTGGTATTCAAAACTCACTCAGTCTAACCCGGGGGGCTGGGGGTGGGGCAGAGCATCTAACCACGCACTAATGCTAACCGGTCACTAGTCTTGGCTCCTTGGAACTCCCTGACCTTTGCTTGTGTTGACCCCACCTGGAAGGCTTCCCCTTGTACAGTATACCTGCCCCAAATCTTGCTCTTCCTTCAAAGTCTTGCTCATAAGTCACTTTCTCTGCAAAGCTTTTTCCATCTTCCCCAGAAAGAGCTATTTCTCACTCTCTGGTTTTAAAATTGAGAACGTTGCTTCCCCATCAGGCCCAGAGCCCCTCAGTGGGCAGGAACTGTTCTGTATATCTCCCTTCAGTGTTTGGCACAGTGTCTGGCACAGAGTGAGTGCTCTCTAAAGGTTTGGTGACCAAATGACTGGCCCCAGGACTCCTCCCCAACACACAGTTGTGAGGAACTGCTAGGCATCTCCAGTTGGAAGCCAGGAGGGAGTAGGAAGTTGCAGGGTCCCAAAGCAGGAGGAGCTTAATGTAGGGGTAAAGATAGTGTCATTAACTTCATCACTCATACATGGGGCAGTTCTGTCCCCAGGGGATCCGGCTGGTAGGGAAGTTCCATCCTTACACCATCCCTATAAATCTTTGGGAATCAGCTGTCCACCCCCAGGGGGTTTCCCCTCTTGCAGTGCCAGGAACTGAACCATGATGGGAAGTGATCTTGGCTGGGTCTCTGGACACTACAGGAGGAAGTGTGGCCAGAGTGCACATGCTCAGAGCCTGTGCCACCCCAGCCAGAGCTCTTTGGACTTCAGTAACTAGGGGTTACGTGGCTTTGGTAACAGGGTAGTTCCGGGGTGGTGGGGACTTCCTCGGTTGAGGGAAATTGCTCCATTGCCAGAGCTGTGGGGTAAGAACTGTTCCAGTGCTTCTCAGCAGCCCGTCACTGTGCCCTGGCTAGGACTGTGGGCAATTTCAGAGCTTGCAAAAGCCTTAGGCCTTTAAGAGAGTCTTCTAGCTCTTTGGCCCAGCCTCTAGCCAACTGACTCCTCCCTCTAAGGCTGTCTCACTTAGGAACCTAGTAAGGCTTTCTGTAGCCTCAGGTCCAAATGCCTCAGCCTGAGATCACTACATCCCAAAGTCTGGTAGACAGGATAGGTGGGCAACTAGGAGCATGGGCTCTGGGGTTAGCCAGCGATGGGTCCAAATCCCAGCTCACTGTGTGACCTTGGGTCATTCACTTTGCCTCCTTGAGCTCCAGTTCCTTCAGCCATAAAATGAGGATAAATAGACTTGAAAAGATCAAAATTAAGGATTTGTTCAATGGAACAAAGTTGCTCCAAGGAAGCACCCTAGACCAAGTGGTTCTCAAAGTGTGATCCCTGGACCATCACCATCACCTAAATACTTGTTAAAAATGCAAATTATTGGGACTCATGCTTGCTCTATTGAGCCAGAACCTCGGGGTGGAGTTTTCAATCTGTGTTTTAGCAACCTTGCGGAGATTCTAACGCATGCTAAAGTTTGAGAACCACTGCCATAGCTAACATATGGGCAACATATTGGGAGAAGGTGTCTGGAACATCAACAGCCAACAAGAGGTTAATATCTAAAATGTATGAGTTACCCCTGCAAATCAACAAGAGAAAGACAAGAAACCCAATAAATAATGGGCAAAAGATCTGGACAGGCAATTCACTGAAGGGGGAGCCCAAATGCCTGACAAGTATAGCAGGAGGTTCTGAATTTCAGGATTAATAGAGAAATACAAGTTAAAACAATGAGAGGCCACCTTATCACCCAATCTCTAGGCAAAATTACAAAGTCCGATAATGTAAAAGCTGATGAAAGCGTGGGGAGAGAGCATCCTTCTCAGGTTGCTAGTGGAGCCGCTTTAGCAGAATTTAGTGACATTTAAAACCTGTATGACCTGTGATCTAGTAATTCTACTCTTGAGTACAGAGCCTGAAGAAGTTTTCATGTAGCTCCATAAGAGTCATCCACAAAGACGTGAATCTCAGGGTTGTTTGTGGTCAGAGGGAGTTAGAAACAACCTGAGTGTCCATCACCGGGGGGAATGGATACATGAAACAGTGGATGCTCAGCTTGGAATATTTTGCAACAAGCTAGATGGGTAGATCTTAAAAACATATTATGAAGTGAAAAAGAAGCAACAAAATGAGATCCTTACCCAATACTATTTACGTAGTGTAAACACACACACAAAGCATTGTATGTATTCATGTCCAGGGACATACATCAACACATAGGAGTGGGTGCCCATGATGGGGAGGAGGAGTGTGGCGAATGTGTAGATACAAGGGGAAAATAAGACAAAGCAAAATATCACAAGTGTCTTGCACAGACCAATTATGCTGAGATGGTCACTTGCCACAAACTGAGTATGAACCATGGAACTCTCTGGAGCTGAAGCCCTAACAATAATATTATTATTTTAAAATGGGTGATAGTAGCCCTGGCTGGGTACCTCAGTTTGTTAGAGCATCATCCGATATGCTAAGGTTGTGGGTTCAATCCCCAGTCAGGGCACATACAAGAATCAACCAATGAATGCATTACATAAGTGGAACAACAAAAATCAATGTTTCTCTCTCTCTCTCTCTCTCTCTCTCTCTCTCTCTCTCTCTCTCTCTCTCTCTCAATTTAAAAAATGGGTAATAATAATACCTACCTCCTAGTAAGTACCATGTATCTTGCCACAGAGGGCTCTGTAATGTTATTATAAACTAGAGGCCCGGTGCACAAAATTTGTGCACTGGCGGGGGGGGGGTGTCCCTCAGCCCAGCCTTCACCCTCTCTAATCTGGGACCCCTTGGGGGATGTCCGACTGCCGGTTTAGGCCTGATCCCACAAGATTGGCAGTCGGACATCCCTCTCACAATCTGGGACTGCTGGCTCCCAACCGCTCGCCTGCCTGCCAGCCTGATCACCCCTTAACCACTTCCCTGCCTGCCTGATCAACGCCTAACTGCTCCCCTGCTGGCCTGATCACCCCCAACTGCCCTCCCCTGCCAACCTGGTCGCCCCCAACTGCCCTCCCCTGTTGGCCTGGTCACCTCTAACTGCCCGCCCTCCCCTGCTGGCCTGGTTGCCCCTAACTGCCCTCCCCTACTGGCCTGATTGCTCACAACTGCCCTCCCCTGCCGGCCATTTTGTGCCCACATAGGGGCGGCCATCTTGTGCGAGGGTGTGATGGTCAATTTGCATTTTACATCTTTATTATATAGGATAAACTTGCCTAGTTCTTCTAGGCAAGTCTCTGGTTTCCTTTCAGGGGTCATTTCTTTTAGCCTCCAAGCCTGTACTTGGGCTGGGCCACATGCTGTATTTATGCTTCTTGCCCTCTCCAACCCTGCCTTTAGGTTCCTTTGGCTACCCAAGACCACTGGGATGGCTCTGTGGAGTCTTGGGTACTTTTCTGGCTTAAGCATGAAGCCAGGCTGCAATGGAGCTGTGAGGGCAAGTCCTATTTCCTCTTCCCAAATTGTGCTCCCTCAGGGTCTTAGATCTCACTCCCACCTCATTCCCAGCCCACTGCACACAGGGTAAAGACAGGTAAACTGAGTCAGAACGTGTTAGATGTGGAAGGGAACAGCCTTTATTGAGTGCCTGTCATGTGGCAGACCCAGCACTCAGGTCTTGACCTTTGTTCATCTCCATGACCTCCCTCTGAGGCAGGTGGGGCCCATATCATCTGACAGGCAAGGAGATGGGGGCTTAGGGGCTAGGACACTAACCACGCCCCCTCTCAGGGGTCTTGGGTAGCCAAAGAAATCCAAAGGCAGGGCTGGAGAGGGCAGCCCTAGGTCTGTCTGGCTCCAAATCAAAGATCTGAATAAGCAACTTGTTTGGAGCCTTAGGACTGGGATCCAGATCACCCTCCTCCGAGTCAACTCTCAGTAGAGAAAAACCTCTACTCCACACTGATGATCTGATTCAGTGGTGGTGGTGGAGAAAACTGTGGGGGCGGGGGGGGGGGGGGGGGGGCGGTCCCTGCTATTTAGAGCCTTAAAAATACCCTCTACAGACTTAGCCTGGTCGGTTTGAGATAACATCGCAGGAGAATCAGGAGGTTCCCTCCAGTCCCTTTCCCTCTTTTAAACCTCAGTCTCTCCAACTGCAGAGCAGGAGGAACTGAAGTCTCTGGGCTGTGGGAATGCTTTTCTCAGTCGGCCAGAAGGTGGAGCCCACTCATCACCCCTCGCGAGGCCTTCAGAAAGAAGCGCAGTCCGGGAGGAGGGGGTGTCCTGGTGCGGATCCCGGGGGGGCCAGGGGAACGTGCCCATCCCGGGCGGGCAGAGTGGCTAGCTGAGCCCCAAGCGACTGCCTCGGACTTTAGGAACCGGAGCCCTAAGGGCAGGATCTGAGACGGGGAATGGAGGCCGGATTTGGGGGTGGGGGTGGGATGAGGAGGGGCCCTGAGGATGGGCACCTCCCCAGACCAGAGTGAGAGTCCAAGGCGAGGTGGCAGGGCCACGCGCTCCGCCTTCCGCCTGGGCACAGCCACAGGCTACAGGTAGTTGTCTTCGGATGCCTCATTCCCGCCCGGGGAGCCCCGAGCCTCCTCGTCTGTGCTGTCCTCCTCGTCGTCGTCATCGGGGGCCAGCGCCTCAATGTCGTGCGTGATGTCCGCCAGCAGCCGGTGGAAGGTCTGCTCCTCGGGCCGCTGGGCCGCGCCGTCATAGCTGCGCACAGCGGATGCCGACGTGGAGCTCATGCTGCGCTTGATGCGGCCGAAGCTGTCGGTGAGGATGCCGCCCTCACGGATGCCCACGCCCTCCAGGAAGCCCTCGAAGTAGCCAATGTCCTGGTCCTGGATGAAGGGCCGCATCCCTGCGGGCCAAGGGGCAGGTGACTCCTGGGGGTTCAGCCCCTTCCCCTCCCACAGAGGGGTCACCTTCGTTGGAAATCCGGGTTCAGGTCCCCGCCCACCCCTCACCGGCGGTGTGGCCTTGCACAAGTTCCTTGACTCTGAGCCAGAGAATAATGACAGATTTCGTGGTTCCTGGTACATGCTCTTTGCACGTTAGCTTATTATTGCTACACCCCATTACAGAGGTGTGTGACCCTCATTAAATAACTACTCTGGGCCCTGGCTGGCGGCTCGGCTGGTTGGAGAGTTTTCGATATGCCAGGGTTGCAGGCTCCATCCCTGATCAAGGCGTATGCAGGAGTCAACCAATGAATTCATGAAGTCGATGTTTCTCCCTCTTTCTCTCTCTCCCCTTCTCTCCCTGTTTAAAATCAATAAATTAAAAAAAAAACACACACAAAACTCTTCAGAGCTTTCCTCCTGGGTAAAATTGAGAAAAGTACACATCTTCTCCTGGTAGGTTTGTTAGGATTAAATAAGGTACTCAGCACACACTGAGTGCCCCATACAAGTGAGCGCATTGCAGTCCAGTCACTACTAACTATGTGACTTCAGTACTTGGCTTCTCTGAGCCTCAGTCTGCTCATCCGCACAATCTGGGGTAAATAATAGTTTCTACTTCCCTGAACTGAGGCCATTCAATGAGGTGATGCTTGGCACATGGTAATGGCCAAATACATGTTAACTTAGTAACACGATCATTCCCACTGTTGTTTTGCTGGCCCTCCTCACTAGCTGTGTGACCGTGAACAAGCTCCTTCGCCTCTCTGAGCCTTAGCTTCCTCAGGGGGTCAGATGGGAAGAATCCTTTCCTCTCCCAGGTTTGCTGTGAAGACGGAATGGTTATACCAGTGCTTTGTTCTTACTGACTTTGTGACTGCAGGCAAGTCCCTTCTCTCTGCACCTCGGTCTTCTCATATGCTCCCTGGATCTCATCATCTTGGCTTTATCAGAGGCTGAGAGATATGGAACAAACACTCCCGGCCTGGAGACTGACCAGGAATGTCATGACCATGCAGGGGCCTTGGCTGACCTTGGGGGGGGGGCAGGGGGCAGGGGGCTCACCGAGGAGGAAGAACTTGCGCCGGTCTCCGTAGAGCTTCAACAAGCCCGAACAATAGTCCTGGATGGGCAGCCCCAGCCTGTACTCCCGCAGCAGCAGGGCAAACTGCTGGATCTCGAGGGGGCCCAGCTTACTCCGCAACTGTGGGGACACCATTCGAGATCAATCCCAGGAAGCACCCCGATCCAACCCCTTCCTGAAAGGCCCAGAGCCCTCTCTAAGGGCGTACCTGGCCCAGCCCTCCTCTGACAATGCTCGCTGACCTTAGTTTAGGCCTTTCAGCAAGCTGGCCTCAGTGTACTCTCCTAACTTCACGTCCCACGCTGGGTCTTATGCTTCAGTCATGTCCAAGATTATTTATGATTCCTGAAATAACCTGTGTTTCCTCCAATTTCTAGGCCTTTGCTTGTGCTGTCTGCACTGGTGCCCCAGCTCACCGTGACCATGTAATCCTGCAATTGCTCCAGGCCCAAGGCGCTGTGGTCGCTGCCGCTGCAGTGCGAGTCATGGAAAGAGGGTGTGGATGTGCCGCTGTAACACGCTTCAAATGTGTCCTGGGAGCCATTGCTGCAGGGACAAGCAGAAAGGGGTCCTCACTCATCTCTCTCCAGCTCCTCCCCTGCCGTGGGTGGAACGTGGGAGGGCATAGCTACCAGTGCTCTGGGCCTGAGGCCTCATCCTAGGTCCCATTTTCTCCTTCAAGGCCCCACATTATCTGGCCCCACATTATCTGGCTGCCTCTCAAGCCTCTTCTCACTCTTGCTGTTTGTGCTCGGGCCACCCTGCCTTCCTTTCCTCTAATACTCCAAGTACCTCTTTACCTCCGGGCCTTTGCACATTCTGTTCCATCATCCTGGAATGTCTCTCTCCCCCTATCTTTTGCTCAGCTAATTCTTATTCATCACTGGATTTTATTTTATGTTTTTTATTTATTTATTTATTTTTTGAGAGTACATTTATTAAAGCTGGGGACAGTGAAACAAGAACAGGCCTAGGATAGAAGAAACAGGGGGGACTAGTTGGGGTTGCTTTGGCTCTCTAGAAATTTTATGAGAAAAAAGTGAGCCAAGGTGGGGCTGCTATCAGCTCACTGGAGTCAGAGAAAAGAGGCCTTGGAGACAGGTTCAGGGGGTTAACCTGGGACAAGCTGCCACTGCCCATTGCTCCCTGGTTGCAAGCCTCCTGGGGTCCCTCGGCGTTTAGGAGATGCATGGGCCTGCTCCAGGGAGGGAGAGTACCTAGATTTTAAATGTCATCTTCTCAGGAAAATTTTCCCTGATCCCCCCCAGACTGGATTAGACCCTCTGTCAAATGAGCTCACAAAGTCTACTCATGACATGCAAGGACTTTCCAGATCTCACCAAACATTCTCTCTGACCACAGTCACTGCCATAGTCACAGGGGCCTCCTGCTGATCCTCAAACACACCCAGCTTCATCCTGCTTCAGAATCCGTGCACTTGCTGTGCCCTCTCCCAGAATGCTCCTTCTCCAGGTCTCAGTTCCAGTGTCATCACCTCTGAGAGGCCCTCCTGGCACTCTGAGCTTCTCTTTATTCTGCTTATTATCATTAATGCTCATTACTATTAAATAATGACTTCTTTGTCACTTGTGCTAGACCAGGGGTGGGCAAACTTTTTGACTCGAGGGCCACAATGGGTTCTTAAACTGGACCGGAGGGCTGGAACAAAAGCATGGATGGAGTGTTTGTGTGAACTAATATAAATTCAAAGTAAACATCATTACATAAAAGGGTACGGTCTTTTTTTTTTTTTTTTAGTTTTATTCATTTCAAACGGGCCGGATTCGGCCCGCGGGCCATAGTTTGCCCACGGCTGTGCTAGACTGTAAACCATGCAAGAGCAGGGGACTTGTGTTTCTTCATTTGTTGTGTACCTACTATGTGTTAAGCTGGGTGTTATCCTTGTCTTGTTCCCCACTGTATCCCTAGCACACAGCACAGTGCCTGGCAATAATATTGCTTAATAAAAAGTCAACCTGCCTCCCAGTCTTTACATTTTCTATTACCTACAGAGAAGCAGTGTTAGCATGGTGGTGAGATTTTTTTTTCTTTTTTTAATCCTACATTTTCCAGTCTTCCTACTTGTAGCCATGTGACCAAGTTCTGGCCAATGAGATGTAAGCAAACATTGCCAGTGGGAATTCCAGCAAAGCTTTTAAAGAGGCCCCTGGCATGCTGCCCCCCTGGCTGGAGCTATGACCATCTTCTTGGGACATGAGGCGGCCTTCAGGATGGAAGTAAGTGCTGAGGAGGCAGGAAAAGAGAGGCCTGGGCCCCTAACAACCACGAGACCATGCATGAAATGCTGGCCTAATATTTTATGTAAAAGACAGGGGAGAAACGCTCCATCTTGTTTAAGCTATTCTTCTTTTTCAGGGTTTTCTATTACATGGAGCCTCAACTAAAATAAACCAAAACGACTCTTTGGCGTTAGCTGTGGTTTTGGACCTTGCAGGCCACTCAGCCTGGATGACTAGGAGAGAACCACAGGCCTACGTGGGCCCACTTCCTAGTTCTCTCGGTATGAATCCTCTGAGCTCATCAGAGTTCAGTTTACCTCCCACCCTAATGCCCAATGTCTCAGCACAAATCAAAGTGGGGTCACTTTCTCCCACCTTTCTTACCCACAGGGGGTTCAAGAATGCCTAGAAGCACAACCCTGTTTATGAACAGGTGTGTGGGGGGAGCGAGAGTGGGGTCCCCAGCAAGGGTGGTACCCACAAAGAGCTGCAGCAGCTGAAGTCGGCATCATAGGCGTAAGTCCCGTCGGTTCGGCAGCTGTCACCTGGGACCACAGACAGAGGGGCTGTCAGAGGAAGCAAAGCAGGGACCAGCCTCCCCGGCTTCTGAGGCCTCAACCTCAGTCCCTCCCTGGGGTAGGGATGGTGGCTGGAGCAGATGGCCTTGTAAACTACTGTAAGGACGTTAGCATTTACTCGGAAATGGGCAGCGACTGGAAGCTGCTAACCACGATTCCTGTCCCCCCCCCCCCCCACACACACACACACCTCACCCCCTGACACGCAGATGATCTTGGGCAACTCACCTCCTGTCACCTGGCCCTCAACTTCCCCAACATTGGGACATCACCTTCCTGTCTACCCCAGAGGGTCTCGGGTACAACAGCGGTGGGAACAGGTGAGGGTGTATTTTGTAAACTGGATGTGTTTGAGGTGGCACAAAAAAGAACTTGGAGAGGGAAGGAACTCAGTCTTGAGAGTAAAGAAGCACTGTTTACAGAGAATTGGCTCTGTGCCTAGCCCTGTTATCTCACTGATGCCAGGTACTAGCCTCACCTTCGGATCTTGGCTCGCTCAATGTCACTTCCTCAGGACTCCCCTGACTCCCCAGGCCAGGCTGGTTCCTCATTATATGTTCTCATAGCACAGCATGTGTTTGCACTGTATTTTTGTAGCTATTTAACTACTGTCACATTACCTCAGCAATGCAAGCCTCATAAGGGCAGGGCCACATCTGGTTTTGCTCAGCAAGATATCCTGGCGATTAGCAGCGCCCAGCATCTAGTAGGTGCTCAATAAATATGTGTCGAATGAATTTCTTGAAATATTTATTGCATTACCTCATTTATTTGCCTATCATTCCTGTGACCGTTAATGAGTTATCCAAGCTTCCTCAAGCCAGTTTCTACAGATGGGAGTGCCTCCAGAAGTAAAGAGCCATCTCCCTGTCACTGGAACTATGCAAACAGGGACCGCGCTGAGGGGGCTGTGCCTGAGGAAATTCACTTAGTGGCCTTGAAGGCAGCACGGGGAGTGAAGCTGGTGCAAATAGAAGCTTTAGAATCAGAATACCTGGGTTTGAATCCCAACTCTGACACTAAGTAGCTGTGTATGCTTGATTAATTTATTGACTACTCTGAACCTTAATGTCCTCATCTGTCAAATTGGAATCATAAGGCCTCACGGAGAGTTCTTTCATTCATTCAAAAAAATAAACTTGAGCATCTGTGATGTCCCTGTTCCCGGGCGAGGCACACAGGGTACAGTGGCAAACAGGACAGACAAGGTTGCTTGGCACATAGTTGGTGCTCAGTAAATACTCTCTGGGTCTCGTTCTCATTCCAGCCCTTGATTGTATTCAAGGACCAGTCTTGAAATTTTGGTTTTGACCTACTGTCCTAGTGGGGCTAGCCAGCTTCACAGACAGACAATGCACTATCTTAAGTTTCTGCAAAAGAAGGAACACCAAAAACAAAAGGGAGAGAGAAGTTCAGCTGTTCTGAATCTGACAACCAGAACATCTATGAAGCAGCTAGGTTTGAGGTCATCATGAAAACGGACATTTTTTAAGAACCCCATATTGGGGGTACACTGTAATTGCAGGAGAGATAGAACCCCTAAAGGCTTTCATTGGCCCTAAGTCTTGGGGCATCCTTCCTCCCCTGGCCTTTCGGGATGTTTCATAGGAGAGGAGGCCAGGATTTCGACCACTCACTGCGGCTGCAGAGCCACGGCCTTTCGGGCGTGGATGTGTAGTGGTAGCCAGCCCGGTCAACGCACTCGATGCTCTGGTCCCCGTAGATGATCTGGAAGACCTGACAGATGAGGGCGCAGGACTCCTCGGCAGCATCCTGGCCCAGGGAGGAGGAGGCACAGTGTGAGGAGGCTCAGAGACACACATACCTTTTAATAAAAGGGCTTTGAGGGTATTTCCCATCAAAAATGATTTCCCATCAAAATGGCTGTTCTTGGGGTCTTGGACACCTTTGTAGACTCCAGAGATGATTCTAACCCTCCTGTCCTGAAAAATGCACACATGCAACCCAATTTCCTGGGGATTCATGGGCCCTCCTGAAGCTTATCTAAAAGAAGCCCCTCACCCTAGCCAGTTTGGCCCAGGGAATAGAGCATCGGCCAGCGGACTGAAGGGTCCCAGGTTCGATTCCATTCAAGGGCACATACCCGAGTTGCAGGCTCAATCCCCAGTGTGGGGCATGCAGGAGGCAGCGATCAACGATTCTCTCTCATCATTGATGTTTCTCTCTCTCTCTCCCTCTCCCTTTCTCTCTGAAATCAATTAAAATATTTTAAAAAATAAATAAAATAATCCCCAATTTGTTTTAGTCTACAGGTAGGAAGCTGAAAGCCAGAGAGGTAAAGTGATTAGCCACGACTAGAGCCAGGTCTCCCAATACCTAGTAGGAGAAGGAAGAATTAAGTGTATAAAAAGTGTTAGGTTCAACATAGTTACTACACTACCAGATGCCATATTTAGATATGAGCTTCCTGGCACCCAGGGCAAAAATGGAAGCAGGATGAAGACATAAAGTTCAGTCTCCGGTAGAAGGAGGGAACTGAAGTCCTTGGGTGATATTTTTTGGAGATTACAAATATAAAGAATTTGTTTTATTTTTAAAAAATATTTTTATTGATTTCAGAGAGGAAGGGAGAGGGAGAGAGAGATAAAAAACATCAATGATGAGAGGGAATCTTTGATTGGCTGCCTCTTGCACACTCCCTACTGGGGATCGAGCCTGCAACCCTGGCATGTGCCTTTGACCGGAATCAAAGCCAGGATCCTGACACTCTATCCACTGAGCCAAACCAGCTAGGGCAGAATTTGCTTCTTTCATTGACTTCGTTATGCCTTCAAGCAAGAGACACAGAAAGGCTATAAATGATGAAGAGATTAACTCCATGAGGGCATTTCCTATTTTGTATCTCTAAAAAAAAAAAAAAAGCTCAGGTATAAATTAAAATGTGACCCAGGATAGGCATTTTGGGATGGTTATATTTTTAAAATAGGGCCAAGAGGATTTGTTGATAGAGTGGATATGGGTTGTGTGAAAAAGAATGGGGAGCCAAGGATCACCGCAAAGTTTTGGTAAAAGCAACAGAAGGACAGAGCTGCCATCAATCAAGACAGGGCGACCAAGGCAGGAGCAGGTTTGGGGGAGAAAAGTGGGAGCTCAGCTTTTATGTCATTAGACCTTTGAATGAAGGGGCAGAGTGGAAAAACATGTCTGGAGATTTGATGATGAGAGAGAAACTTTTTAGGGAGTTCTCAGTGTTTTAAATGCCCCAAGACTAGAAGAGACCATCTAGGACTGGGTATAAGGACTAAGCCTGGAGCACGCCAGCCTTAAGAAGCTGAAGAGGAGGAAGCAGCTCTAGAGAAGGAGCAGCCAGGGACATGGGTGGGAGGGAACCAGGAGAACGGGGAGAGCTAGAAGCCAAGTGAGAAAGTGTGTCAAGGAAGAGCGCATCAGCTCCGGAGTCCAAGTTTTCTGATGATTGTCCATCTCTCCTTTGGGACAGGCAACATGTCTGTTTTGTTCACCGTGGTTTTGTTCACCATGGGACCCTGGGCCGGAGGAAAAGCTTAGAAGCCACAGGGCTTGACGGTGTCTGCTAGACTGTGAGCTCCCTAAGGGAGGACACCGGGTATGTCTCCTTTATCTCTGTACCCACAGCACCCAGCCCAATACCTAGCACAAGATGGCACTCAGATATGGTCAAATGAATAAAAGCAAAGGTGATTGTGGAGAATGGGTGGAGGGAGGGTAGGCAAGGAAAGAATGACAGAAAGGCTTCTGCCTTGGGTGACGACATCGTCCCCACGAGTACAGGCCCTGAACTTCCTGGGTACCAATGTTGAAATCGCCACCTGATTCCTGTGTGACCTTGCACAAGTTACTTAGTCTCTGGGTCGCGGTTTCCTTCTCTATGGAATGGATGTGACTGAAATATTCCCCTCTGCTGGTTACTGTTAGAATGACATAAGTTAATGCTGGTTCTGTGTCTGGGATGGGTTGGCACTCGATTCACACTGGGGATTCGTGTCCTCATGATTGTTACCGTGGCAGTTCGGACACTGACGATATTGGAGAAAGAGCAGGGTTGGAGGAGGGATTAAACCAAGTCTATTTTGAGTTTCATCCTATTGGGACACTAAGGGGGAAGTGTCCTGCAAGGGTCCAGGGCTGGCGTTTAGAAGCCTTTTGGCGTCATGGGCTCACAGGTAGTAACTGAAGTCCTAGGTAGGGCAGAAGGAGGGAGAAGGAAAGAGGCCAGGGTGGAGCCCAGGAACCTCGTGAATGGGGCAGGATTGGGGGGCGAGGCGGGGTAAAGCGGCACCAGCCCAGCCCCGACGCGCCCGGGAGCAGAGCGCAGCGGCGCGGGGTGCCCTCGGGCTCACCCTGTTGGCCACAGCCAGGATGACGAGGTTGCAGTAGGCGTCGGGGCTGGGGTCCTGCGGGTCCAGAGGGTTGGAGCCCGGGTGGCGCCGCTCCCAGCTGCCGCCGCCGCCCGCCTGCCTCCGCTCCCAGCTGCCCCCCGGCTTGCCGCCGCCGCCGCCGCCGCCGCCGTGCCGCCGCTCCCAGCTGCCGCTGAACGTCTGCCGCCGCTCCCAGCTGCCCGACGCCCGCGCCCCAGCGCGCTGGCGCTCCAGGATGCCGCGCCGCCTCCGGCCCGGGCTTCGGCCCCGGGCCCCCGCCCACGCCATC